CTCTGATCTCAAACTCCTGAGTAGCTAGGATTACAGAAGTGAGCCACCAATGTCTAGTCTGTCAACACTTCTTATTTCCATTTTCCTTTTATAATAGCAGTGGTTGTGAAATGAGGTATCTATGTGGTTTACTTTGCACTTTCCTAATGATAAGTGATGTTGAGCATTTTTTCATGTGTTTCTTGATTGTTTATATGCAGTAAACTTCCTTATTTGTGGACGTATCACACTGTTTTGTTGAACAAGCACAATCAAAAATAAATAAACTCCAAAGAATTTTAAAAATAAAAAATTTTATTTCCTACACATGCATCACAAAGCTCAGGGCAGAGAGGTATTAGGTTAACATGAGTTATGTTTAAATCATTGTGTGACTTGATGCATTTCTCTTCCCTAAAAATAATATACCTCAAATCAAATGGTGCCCATGATTAACTTAAATGATAAAGTAAAATTTTTATATTTGTTGAAAGAACACCGTGTCTTTATCAAATGCTAGGCAGCATTACAGAAAAAAAAATGTACCAAGTATCCCCAGCACAATTTTAAACTGTATCTTGAGCACTCAGTTTTTTCTCAATGGCATTCTCCTTAGAAACATATACCTATAGATATCAACTGTCTACTCTATCTTCTCTAGTGGAATAGCTATTCAAATACTTTGCTCATCTTTATTGGGTTATTGTCATTGCATTGTAAGGAATCTTTATATAGTCTAGATATTCATCACTTATCCAGGCACAATTTGCAAATATCTTCTCCTATTCCACAGGCTGACTTTGTACTCCTGTTGAGAGTGTACTCTGATCCACAATGTTTTTTATTTTTATCATGTCTAACTTATGTATGTTTCTTTTGGTTACCTATAAACCTTAGGTGGAAAAGAAAATTCTTTCATTCCATAGTGATATTGAGGGGCCATTCTGATCAGTTTCTAAGATCTAATATTTCCCCCAAGGACTAGAAATTATACTTTGTTACAACATTAAATGTAAAATGTTTCCAGTCTCAGATTTCATAACATATTGGCCTTCATCATTTTTAAAGAAATACATGCCTTAAATACATTATCAATATTAAAAATCTCTAGGAAAAAATCTTTCTTTTGGGGTCCTCTGTATTTGTTTCTATGATCAATAATAAAAACTACCTAAAAATAAGTTGAGTACTAGCAGCTCATGCCTGTAATCCTAGCTACTCAGGAGGCTGAGACCTGAAGACCACAATTCAGAGCCAGTCTGGTAGGAAAGTCTATGAGACTCTTAGCTCCAATTAACTACCAAAAACGCTGGAAGTAGAGCTGTGCCTCAAGTGGTAGAGTACTAGCCTTGAGCAAAAAAGCCCAGGGATAGCACCCAAGCCCTGAGTTCAAATTCCAGGGCCAACACACACACACATACACACACACACACATTAAAAATAAAACCACCAGCCTGAATTTGCAAGCATTTTAAGCATCATACTAACAGTCATATAACAACACCCCCCAAGAGAAATAAAGCTCTGTGAGAAACTCAATCATCTTCAATTAGTTATTTCAATGTATCCCCATATACCTAACGTATCTCTATATACCTAAAGTCATCATATATTTTCCATATGTTTATATTTTCCAAGAAGGCATTACAAAACTCAAAAAAACAGAGAAATGAGAATTATAAGAGGCAAACCTATAAACCCAAGAATTAATATTATAGGTAGCGTGAACTTATGTACCACAATGCAATTCAAATATCAATTCAATAGGAATTTACATGTTTCACTAAAAATAATCAGTGACTATTACTGTTGAAAGGTAATTGTGAACTTGACCATACCTACAGAAATGTAAATATAAAAGATAAAGTTAACTGACTTTCCTCCTGCATAGGCAAAAATAACACCCAAGAGCTAATGCCTCTGCATATAAATGGTGGTTGTTGTTATTCCCTTATTAATTAGCAAAATGGCAGAATGCACTTCATCCAGCTCTTTCATAGGGGACAAAATTAATATCCATGTTTTTGATATTTTTCTCCTGCCTCTCAGTATTTTAAACAGGTCATTTTTGAGGTTACGATGTAAGAGGTTAGTTACATTAAATTGAGGTACCCAGAAAAGAAGCAAACCCTTAAATACCTTCAACTGAAATATAACAACCGTCTACAATCTGAGGTCAGTTTCTTTAGCTGAGTTGTGGATTATTGGTACAACTAAAAGCCAGATGAGAGCTGGGAAGGTGGCTCAGTGGTAGAGCGCTTGCCTTGCATGCCTGAGGCCCTGGGTTTGATTCCTCAGCATCACATAAGCCAAAAGAAAAAAGCCAGAAGTGGCGCTGTGGCTCAAGTGGTAGAGTGCTAGCCTTGAGCTGAAGAGCTGAGGGACAGTGCCCAAGCCCAGAGTTCAGACGCCATGACTGGACCCAAAAAAAAAAAAAAAAGCCAGATGAGTTCCAATAGCGCTACTTCTCCATAAAATATTCTGTGTTTCATATGAACCATAGTGAAATATTAATCACTAGTATTCAGTAGCTCATTTGATATATTGTTGATAATATTTGCTTAGCATATCTTTTTTTCCAACCAAAGTACTCAAATTTATTTACATAGAATTTAAAATATTTCTAAATATCCAGATGGTTGCCTTTTAGATTATTTCATATAGACAAATGATACTATCTGTACAATGTTTCAACATTATTAAATGCTGAATAGCTTATCTGACATTCCACTCCCTAGTATCTCAAAATAATTTTAACATAGTATTTAACATTTGAATTAGAACTGTCTTTACTTAAGTGCCAAAACTCTCTTTTCATTCCATTCCTCTCCAAAAATATTCCTAAGCCACTGCACCTTCTGGGCAGAAAGAACAATTTAAGACTGTAAGGATTAAATCAGATCAGAATCAATTAATGAGTTGGAAAAAAGATATCAATAGTATTAATGATAAGCTCAATAGTCAAGGTGTTCTTATGCTTTGAAAAATCAACCTGCACTTGGCAGACAAGTGGCATGTGCTCAGAGAGGCAAGACAGAATGTTACCCATTTAATAAAGATACACAAACACATGAGTTCTAGCTTTGCTAACCTTGTTCCCTCTCTATTACATGCTTATCAAGCAAGCCTGGGTATCTTCATTACTCTTTCCAGATTGTCTCTGATGTTCATTTCAATTGATTCCACCTCCATGTATGCATAAAAATGAAAGAAAGAAAAAAAAGGAAAAAGGATTCAACCTGGAATCACACCTAAGAGTCCTGTATCTCAGAGAGTAGAAAATCAAAGAAGTAGTCTGCCCACAATAACTACAGTATTGAATAATCAACCTTGTCAAACAATTGTCTCACAGATAAAAAATGATTATGAGATCAGTGATATCCACTTAGTGTTGGTCAGAGTTCTTCAAAGAAACAGAACTAAAGCTAGGGGGAGAAAATAATCTTTTTCCTTAACTTAGAAATTGCTAAAACATAAACTTTTAGAAGCCAAATATACACATCTCAGTTTTAAGGAAAAATATCTGGTGCTTAATATTTTTCTTTTTATTAGATGTAATAAACTCTTCTATGTATGATATTAAAAAGACCCTCAGAGCAGCTCTTTGGAATTGCTGTCAGCCATTATATTCCTTAAGGACTTGTAGATAAATACCTCTGGCTAGCTAACTTAGTCATGCCAAAGTGCTAACTTAATTACCCTTTACTTTTCCCCAGAGCGTTTGCATTTAAAATAAACAAAAGCTGAGCACCAGTGACTCATATCTATAATCCTGGGTACTCAGGAGGCTGAGATCTGAAGTTCAAAGCCAGCCCTAGCAGGAAAGTACATGAGACTCTCATCGCCAATTAACCACCAAAAAGCAAGAATTGGAGCTATGACTCAAGTGGTAGAGCTCTAGCCAATTCTGAGTGGAAAAGATAAGGGAGAGTGCCCAACCCCAGTTCCACAAAATTAACAAACAAGTCCTGGGTTGTGCTATGAGTTTATATAAATGCACATGTATTTTTACATACATAAGACTGAACAGAAGGGTCTTTAGTGTTCCATATTTCAAATTATATCACAAATATTCTAATTATTCATAATACACAAGAGGAGGGAAGAGAAAGTATTTTAAATAACCTCTCTAAAATAAATGTTGGGGTGAAGAACTAGACTGATAAAGAGGTAAAGGAGCAAGGCACTAAAGTAGCTCATGCTTTTAATTCTAAGTACACAGAAAGCTGAGCCCTAAGGGTCACAGTTCAAAGCCATCCCAGACAGGAAAGTCCCTGAGACTCTTAGCTACAAATAACCATCCAAAAGCTGGAAGAGGAACTGTAGCTCAAGTAGCAGAATACTAGCCTTGAACAAAAAAGATAAGGCACAGTGCCCTGGCCCTCAGTTCAAGCCTCAGCTCTGGCACAAAAGAGAGAGAGGGGTGGGGGAGAGGGAGAGAAAGAGAGAGCTTTTCTGGTGCTGCTGCAGGCTTCCTGTCATCATGGTTAATATTCCTAAAACTCACTGTACTGTTTGTATAAAGTGTGGCAAGCACCAACCTCACCAAGTAACACAGTACAAGAAGGGCAAGGATTCTCTGTAAGACCAGGGAAAGTGTCGTTATGACAGGAAGCAGAGTGGCTATGGTGGTCATACTAAGCCAATTTTCCAGAAAAAAAGCTAAAACTACAAAGAAGATTGTGCTGAGACTTTAATGTGTTTGAGCCCAGCTGTAGATCTAAGAGAAGGCTAGCTATTAAGAGATGCAAACATTGTGAACTGGGTAGAGATAAAAAGAGAAAGGGGCAAAGTTCTAAGCTCCAACTTTTGTTATGAGGACAATAAAATAATGGTTTCTGAATTGCAACTTTTGTTATGAAGACAATAAAATCATGAGGTCAAATTCACTGCATAAAAAAGAGAGAGAAAATAGAGAAGGTTAAAAAAAGAACCATACTATAGTATTATCATTAGTAATATACTTTGAGAGATAGATTTACAATTTTAATACATATGCATTTAATAAACATGTAACATACCTGTAATACTGTATCTGAACTAAGAATGGGCATCATCTTATTTTTATTCATTTGCTCTTGTAAGTCTTTTCTGAATTTCATCCCAAGTTTAATCTCAGGAGAAAGCATGCCTAAAAGGAAATATAATCATGAATCATTTGTAATAGTTTTATTGCTCTGCTTTGACAATGACTCAAGGATTTCATAAACACTTCAAAATGTCACTTAAAGTAATTAGGTAGATGGAAGGTACATGCTGAATATGTGAAGACCTAGCTTTAGCCCTCCAGCACACCAAAATTGTATTATTATAATTTCTTAATCATCACTTTCATATGCCATTGCTTTAAAATATTACCTGGAAGAAGACACATACATTACACTAAATATAAACTAGTATTTGCTATTTCTTTGTTTCGTGTGTGTGTGTGTGTGTGTGTGTGTGTGTGTGTGTGTATGTGTATATATATTTACATATATATATTTACCTATATATAATTAAATAGACTTAAATACTAATGGAAATAATAACTTGTTTTTGGGAGGGGGGTCCAGTCGTGGGGCCTGAACTCTGGTCCTGGCACTGTCCCTCAACTCTTCAGCTCAAGGCTAGCACTCTACCACTTGAGCCACAGCACCATTTCCGGCTTTTTTTTCTACTTATGTGGTGCTGAGGAATCAAACCCAGGGCCTCATGCATGCAAGGCAAGCACTCTACCACTGAGCCACCTTCCTATCCCAATAAATAAATTTTAAACTGTCTTTTAGGTCTTTCTTAAAACTTATATGCCAATATATAAATAAAAAAGCAAGTTTTGTTTTCAAAATGGCAACTAACTTTTCTTCGTTTCCAAGTTCTAAGAAAAATAGCTTAAAAATTAGCTGACTTTTCTAAAATCTGGAATAAGAGAATAAAAGGAATAAAAATAAGGAATAAAAAAAAAATAAAATTCTGAAGCACCAACCATGATTGGCCTGCCCACCTACCTTACCTCCTTCCTTCCTTTTCTCCCTTTTTCTTTCTTTTTCTCTTTTTTTTAAATTTAATTTAATTTTATTTGTGAACATACTGTACAGAGGGGTTACAATTACATGGGCAGGATAATGCATACATTTGTTACCAAGCATTGCAGCCTCCTCCTTTGTTTACCCTTCACATCCCTTCCCAGCCTCCCCCCCTCCCCCCCACATCCCAATCCTTCTTTTCTTTTTCTCTTTAAACTCAAGACCTGGGTACTGTACCTGAGCTTTTGTGCTCAAGGCTGGTACTCTACTACTTGAGCAACAGCTCTGCTTCTGGCTATTAAGTAGTTAACTAGAAACAAAGAGCTTCAGGGACTTTATTTATCTAAGCTGGCTTTAAACTACAATCCTCAGATCTCAGCCTCCTGAGTAGCTAGGTTAACAGATGTGAGCCATGGGTCCCTGGCCAGGATTGACTCTTAAAATGAACATAATGGAATCAAGAGTGGTATATTTTGTAGGCTATTAAATTTAGATAAGTTCACATCTTTATGAAAAGAAGAAAAAAGAGACAGTACTATCTTCTTGACAAAAAAAAAGAGCACCAAGAAGAGGTCATATGGCTCAATGAGCACAAAGAAGAGGTTGTAAGAGCATACGGAAACATTGTAGCTATCTACAATTCAGAAAGAAGGTCCTTATCAAGAGCCAAACATTCTAGCACCTTAAAAGATTTCTCAGAAGTAAAAACGGCCTATAAACTCATGAAAAATACTCAACATCACTGGTCATAAAGGAAATGCAAACCAAAGCAGTGAGATTCTAGCTCACCCCAGTAAGAATAGCTATTAACAAGAATACAAAGAGCATCAAATGCTGATAGGAATATGGGAAAGAAGGAACCTTATTATATATCAATGAGAATGTAAACTAGTGCAACCACTCTAGCAGGTAGTTTGGCAATACCTCAAAACACTAAACATAGAACTATCCTACAACCATCAATACCACCCCTGGGTATTTATTCAAAAGCTAAAGTAAAGATACAATAAAAATATTTATTCATTGTTGAGCTTGTTAATAACAATAACTCTGTTATTATAACCATGCTCACTGCTGCACTATTTACCACAGCATAGTTATGGAAACAGCCCAGATACCTGACAGGGATGAATGGGCACAAACACAAACATACACACACATTTATATAATTTTATATTAGTTTTACACAATGACCAGAAAGAATGATATTATGTCATTTGCAAGGAAGCGGATGAATCTAGAAAAAATTGTTAAATGAAAGGCTCAGAAAGACAAAGAGAAAAGTGTTCTCTCATTTGTGGTAGTTAAATTATAAACATAAATGAAAACATACTCTATGTAGAATACCTTCTCAACTAGTGTAAAATGTACTGATGCATGTCTCAACAGTAAAATACCAACTAGCAAACTCCAGTACTGAAAAACAAAAAGAAACATACAAAAATAAAAACAAAACAAAAAAGTACCAAAAGCTTGAAATAATAAAAATATAGTGACTGAACTACTTATATATGAATGTAATATAGCATAACCATACTATTTGAAACAGTAAATTGGATCATCAATAAATAAGAAACAGTTGTTTGAGTATTTGAAAAAATAAAGTTAGAGCCCTTCCTTTCCCATATGGCAAAATATATCAAACATCTTGAAGATATAAATTTAATAAACCAAAACAAATATAAGAATTATTTTCTGTTCAGTTTTCAGGTAGATGAAACATTCCTACATTTGAGCTGGGCACCAGTGGCCCTTGCCTTATGGTCTTTGATACTCAGGAGACTGAGATCTGAGAATCGAGGCTTGAAGCCAGCCCAGGCAGGAAAGTCCATGAGATTCTCATCTCTAATTAACCACCAGAAAAAATAGAAGTGGTACTGTGGCTCAGAGTGGGAGATTGCTAGCCTTGAGCAAAAGAGCTCAGGGACTGTGAGGCCCTGAGTTCAAGCCTCACAATAAAAAAAAAAATCCTACATTTGACCAAAATGAAATGAAGAGGACGTAGAGGAGGACAATGAAGAGAAGGGAGAAGGGGAGGGAGATAAACTAACAGAAAAGATAGATTATACTATATAACAATTCAAAATTTTCCATATCTGGACACTGGTGGCTCACATCTGTAATCCTAGCTACTTAGGAGTCTGAGGTCTGAAGGATCATGGTTTGAGACCAATTAGGACAGAAAAGTTCACTAGATTTCATCTCCATAATAACCAGCATAAAGCAGAACTGGAAGCATGACTTAAGTAATAGAGTACCTGCCTAAAAAGAATAAAACCCTGAGTTCAAAAGCCAGTACCAAAATTTAAAAACTTAAAATTTTTACCACAAAATATATCATGAATAACATGAAAAGGTAACTTTAATTCTCAGTAAAACTATAATATAAATAACCCTGGTTTGCTACCATTAATTTATAATACATTGTTATAAATCCATTATAAAATGAAAATAACATATTCAGGCAATTCATATACAAAATAAAAACTATGAAAACCAATATTAAAATACATATAACCTTGATATTTTCTGAAAATATAAATTAGAATTAGAATAATCAGAAACTTTTGGCAATGACTGAATATGTTTTGTGTGGGATCTAAGGGTAAAAATTGTATTAACCCATATTTCAGGAATAATATCTATCAAGAGCTAACACATGTACATCCCTTAACAGCAAATCTATTTTAGATAGCTATTCTAAGAAAAACTGGTCAGTAATACTATCTGAATATTTATTTTTAATAGTATTGAGATAAATCATAAATATCATAAATGCACTAAATAAGGAATATAATGTATATAGCAGGTAGCGATAGAAAAGGCTGGGAAAAGTGCCTTTGATGTAGCACTTGTATGTCAGTAACTGAGAAGAGTCCGGCACCTTCATGACTGATGGAAGCCCAAGGAAGGAGTCAAGACTGAGAACAATAATTATCTTAGTTTGTAAGTGGTGGAGCAGATGGTTTGTTGTGTAGCTTAAAGTTAAAAGGTACATTCCACTTAGTCAATCCAAGAAAGCCTACTGGATTTGCTAATTAAACAAATTAGATTTGACAAGCAGCCAACCAATGAAATAGACATCTACACTAGTACAAATGAAGGATGAAGACACTACTGCTATTCCTCTAGTGTCTACTTATAAAAAAAAACTTGCTGCTGGGCACAAGTTTTAGCAAGTTTTTAGCTATTCAGGAGGCTGGGATCTGAGGATTGTGGTTCAAAACCAGTCTAAGCAGGAAAGTCCCCAAGACTATTATCTCTAATTAACCACCAGAAAACTGGAAGTAAAGCAGTGGCCCAAGGTATAGAGTACAAGCCTTGAGCAAAAAGAGCTCAAGGATAGGGCCCAGGCCCTGAGTTCAAGCCTCAAAAAATTCCCTTAGAATTGAGTATCTTGTTATTTCATTAAACTTATTTAAAATAAAAAAATTAAAAACTAAAAAAAATTGCATTGTGTCATATGCCTGTAATAACATACAGGAAGCAGGGATCTTGAGTTTAAGGCCATCTTGAGCAACATAGCGAGACAGTGTCTCAAAAGAACAAAACAAAAACATGACAGATTGTGGCTGATAAATATAAACAAGGACAGAATATGATACCAATTATGAAGGTATTAGAGGCCTAAAAAAGTCTGGAAGAATATGCAAACACTAAACTCCCACTGCTAAATGAGAGTGAAATTAATGAGTAGAAAATAAAACTTTTTAGTTTCTACATTATTTTTATATTCTAAAGAATCTTGCATATTAATAACTGGTAAAAAGAAAAGAGAAATGAGAAAAAATGAGAAAAAAACTTTGTTGGACAGTGAAAGACATTTAACTCCATTCTACTGGTACTTTATAAGTAATTAGAAGGCATTCTGGAGACAAAACAAGTAGTAAAGACTACTCCAAAATGAAATTTTAACTTTCCACTGGGTTATAAAACAACATACAGGAAAAGACTGTAATCTACAAAATAATACATAAAAATTAGAAAACTCTCATGTGTTCTTAAAATTTATTTATTCTTTAACATCAGTTTGTAAAAATCCTACAAAATAAAAGACACATAAGAAGAAACCATAAAAGGAAATAATCTTATCATTTAATCCAATACTCTAGAATTGGCCTTTTTTAAGGTAAAATTTTCCAAGAAATGTAAATGTCAACTTAAAAGTGAGCGCAGGAAGTATAGTGAAAGGCAATAAAAATAAATATATATACATACACATGATATACAGAGAGCAAGGGTGTGTGGCAAATTTTTATTTCAAGAATAAAATATATTAAAAACAATAAAAATCAGCCAGATGCTGGGAGCTCATACTTGTAATTCTAGCTACTCAGGAGGCTGAGATCTGAGGGTCACAGTTCAAAGCCAGCCAGGCAGAAGTGGAGTTGTGGCTCAAGTGTTACAGTACTAGCTTTGAGCAAAAAAGCCCAGGGACAGTGTCCAGGTCCTAAGTTCAAGCCCCAGGGCTAGCATACACGGGCACATGCACACATATATACACACACAATTTATAAACAAATTATTTTCCACTTTTATACACGGACAAGTTTTAGAATTAAGCTAGAGATGTGGGAGGAATGGAAAAACAACTATCTAGATATCACTTCAAAACCAGGCCCTTTCTAGGAATCTTAGCTATCTTCTGGAAGCTATAATTCCCATTGTTGTCTCTATTGCAATAGATCTTAATAGTCCTTAGAACCTACTACAAATGTTTACAAGAAACTTTGTGCAAACTAGACACTGAGGTGCCTACTTTGAAATCTAAGCTACTACCAAGGTGGAGGCAGGAAGATCACAAATTCAAAGACATCCCATGAAAAGTTGGGATGTCTCTAGCTCAAAACCAAAAGGCATGAGTAGAGAATGCTTGCTTAGCAAGTATAAAATTCTGGGTTCAATTCCCCATGCCACAGAAAGAAACTAACTTGGTGGGGGGGCGGAACAGGGGTCAGGGGAGGGGAGGGGAGTGTAGTTGTAGAGATGGGAGGGCAGGGATAGTAGGGGAAAAACAAAGGAGGAGACAACAATGCTTGATAAGAAATGTACTTATTACCTTGCTCATGTAATTGTAACTCCTCTGTACAGTATTTTCACAACAAAAAAAAATTTAAAAAAAAGAAAAAAAGAAAGAAACTAACTTTATAACGTTGAAGTATAAGACTAAATATAAAAAGCAAGGCTGATGGTACGGCTCAAATAGTAAAGCACCTAAGCCTAAAAGCATGAGACTCTGAGTTCAATCCTTACCACTGCCAAAAAACAAAGATGTGACAATCATCCATTGTGTAGGTTCTAGTGGGAGAGGGACAGATGAACAGAGAGAAGAAAGGAGGGTAAATATAGTCAAAATACTTTATGAACGGGCTGGGAAGGTGGCTCAGTGGTAGAGCGCTTGCCTTGCATGGGTTCGATTCCTCAGCACCACATAAGAAAAAAGAAAAAAGCCAGAAGTGGCGCTGTGGCTCAAGTGGTAGAGCTCTAGCCTTGAGCTGAAAAGCTGAGGGACAGCGCCCAGGCCCAGAGTTCAGGCCCCATGACTGGACCCCAAAAAAAAAAAACTAAAAAAAACTTTATGAACATGTGTGAAACCTGAGTAAGATAACTCGATAAAACTAGTTTGGGAAAGAGGAGGAAAAATGATGGAGGGGATAATTATTATCATGATGCATTATATACATAAATGGACATGTTAAAATGAAACTCCCTTGTATAACTAATTGATGTTACGGTTTTTAAAAGCAGCAGTTGTTGGTATAGATAGTTATGAAACTGATATAATAATAAAGAGAATTTTTCTCACCTTGGCACCTTCCATTCATACCAGGATGAAGACTGAACACAGATCTAGAAGATATGTCTTGATCAAAGAGTAACCTTTCAAATGCCAAAAAATAAAAAAGGCACAGATTATTATGCATCTGAAACAAATATTAATATTTAGCTGTCATTTTTATTCTATCTGAACTTGCTAAAATTCTCAATTTTACACCATTTTTAACATTTATATTTCAGGTATTATTTCAGAAATGTATATTTAAGTTGAAACTTTATTCAAAAAGAAAAAATAGTCATGTTCATTTTTACAAATATTATGCTATTATTTTTGGTATTTGACAGTAAGGAACAACTGGTAATAGTTTTAACACTGGTGAAATTAGATCATTGAGAGATCCTTATTTTAAATTTTTTCCTCCATATTTTTCTATATCATGAAGAAGCTGAAATTAAAATCTCAGGTTACCGGAGAATATATGCTTTCAATAATATACAGGCAGAGAATTCCTTGAATTTTTGTAATTTATTTCTTACTGTTATTACTATACTTGAGGTAGCACTGAAGAGACAAAGAAGTCATATGATGCAGGCACGCCTGTAATCCTAGCTACTCAGGAGGCTGAGATCTGAGGATCATGGTTCAAGCCAGCCCAGGCAGTAAAGGCCATGAAACTCTTTTCTCCTCCAACTAACCACTAATAACCACAAGTGGAGCTGTGACTCAAAGTGATAGAGCATGAACATTGAGCAGGAAAGCTCAAGACCTGAGTTCAAATCCCATGACCATCAAAAATAATAAATAAAAAGAAGATACATGACCCATGGACCTCAATAATCTCCAAACCTAGTGAGGGATACAGACTAAGAAATAGCTGTGATTCAAAGCATTGAGTATAGTACTTGGAAAACTTAAGTATTTATCTTTTGGTTTAAAAAATGGGCAAAAGGCTACATGCAGTAGTTCAAGACTGTAGTTTAGGTTCTTATGGGAAAAAGGTCAGAGGACTATGGTTTGAAGCCAAAGGCATGCACAAAGAGAAGAACTGCAGCAGAGGCATAAAGCAAGACTCCATCAAAAAAAAATGCCGAAAGAGGTTGGCAAAGTAGCTCAAGTGGTAGAGCATGTGCTTACCAAGTGCAAGTCCTGAGTGCAAACCCCAGTACAGTATCACATAAAAAAAAAAAAAGCAAAGGGCCTGAATGGTCATTTCTGCAAAGAAGAAGAGGAAATGTCCAATAAGTATATGAAAGAGGCTCAACATCACTAATCCTTAGGGAAATACAATCAAAACCACAGTGGAATACCATACCACACTTGTTAGTGTAGTTGTTAAAAAGTATACTTAGAAAAAAACAACAGAAATAACCAAAATGTTGAAAAGGATGTGAAAAAAATTGGAATTCATATGCAATGCTGGCATGGTTTATAGTAATGTAAAATAGTATATAACTACCTTAAAAAAAGCACACTGGTTCCTTAACAAAGTAAACAGAATGCATTTAAAACAGCACTTCCACTTCTGTGTACATACACAAAAGAATGGAAGGCAGAGACTAGCACAGACCTTTGTTTATAGAAGTACTACCTGCAATAGCCAAAAAGAGACCAATTGTCCATTACTGGAAACAAGGATATATGGCTTTTATACGTACAGTGGAATATTATTTTTCTGGAAAAGAAATACAGATACCATCTACAACTTAGATGAACCTTGAAGACAGTATGCTAATTGAAATAAACCAGACAATAAGGGACACATACTACGTGACTTCATCCATATGAGATATCCTCCTATAAGATATGAGTAGTCAAGTTAAGCGACAGAAAGTAAAATGGTAGCTTCCATGGGTGAAGGGAAAATGAAATAAGGACTTATTTAATAGACATACAGTATCACCTTGGGAAGATTAAAAGATTCTAGAGACAGTGGTAATGGTTGTAGAACAATGTGGAAATATTCAATGCCACTAAAACTAAAATGGTTAAAATGATAAGTTCATCTAACATATAATTTATCATAATAAAAACTGAAATTAAAAGTTTCCAGAATCTATTCGTGTAACAGCAAATCATCTGTACTTAGGCATGAAAATGTAGTTTGGTACTAAGCTTTTGGTTTATTTACTTGTTCAAATTCATTTTTACTTTATCAGCACAACTCTGCCCCCTGTTGGTCACTCAATGGATTAAAGTCAATTCTAGACATACTAATTCATTTCATATAGAAACCTTTCAGTATGTAACTTTAAAATACACCTTACACATAATCTTTCAAAAGAACAATAATTATTACATTAAATCAGTAATTCCTTAATATTAATTAGTTTTCAGTTTATGATAATCAGCCTCTAAAACAGTGCCTGGTATGTATGCCCTATTGGATAGGTGGTTTTTATCTTTTAAGTTTCTTAAAAATATGTAAATTTAACTGGGCACTTGTAATTATAGCTACTCAGGAAACTTAGATCTGAGGACAGAGGCTTGAAGCCAGCCAAAACAGAAAAGTGTGCGTGACTCTTAGCTCCAATTAATCAACAAAAAGTTGGAATTGGAGGTGTGGCTTAAGCAACAGAACACCACCCTTGAGTGCTGAAAATTTACACAAGGTTTTAGAAACTCCAATTTTCACTTAAACATTTGAAGTATCATTAAAATTCTTCCCTAAGCCATTAAGTATTCATCATAAGGACATCTTGTAACTTATTTAAGCATTATAATAAGTCAGTTCATTTTATTTATGGATTTTTTTTATAGTACTGGGGTTTGAATGCAGGGCTTTGTGATTGCTAGATAGGGGTCCTACTCTTTGAGCTACATTTCCAGCCTTTTTTGTCATTATTTTTGAAAGAGCATCTTGCTTTTGCTCTGGGCCAGCATGAAATATGATCCTCCAATTTACACTTGCTACTGCAGCTGGAATGACAGGTAGGTTGTACCATGACCAGATGGTTCTGTTGAGGTGAAGTCTTGTGACCTATTTTGCCACAGCTGACCTGGAACTATGATCCTCCTGATTTCAACTACAAAATTGAGATGACAGGGCTGTACCACCATGCCTAGCTACTGGCTGAGATGGCTCATAAATGTTTTGCCTCGGCTGCTCTTAAACTGTGATCTTCCCAATCTGTACCTCCTGAGTAGCTATTATTATAAAGTGCACCACTACCATCCAGATCACACGTTAATTACATGTGATTTTAACCAAGCATGATGAAAAATGAAAATAAATGAGAAAAAATTTTTTAAAAAATCTTCTTTGTGCATTACTCAGCTCACTTGCCAGAGCTTGTCAAAGCGTGTCTTAGTACTAACAAAACCCCAAGGAGGATCATCTGCACCTTAGTATAAATTTTTGAGGCAACAGTAGGACCAAATCTAGGCTTTCAAGTGCTTTTTCATACAATATTAATACATGGCATCCTGAGTCTTTCAAAGTCTTAGCCCCAAAGATCACCAAATTCAGTTCTTAGCAAAAAGATCTAAGTTTTTACAATATTTCTTAAGGAGTATTTAACCATAGTCAACTGTGTAATATTATGTCTACTAGAGATATCTGCCATACCAGGGCCTCAGTTTCCTATGGGAGCTTGTACATGAAAGACAGTCAGGATGAACTACATACAACTAAGCAAGAGGATGAAGAAGAAAGAAAATCAAAACCACCACCATTCTGTCCCGTCTCTATCTAAACTTTGATTTTATTTCCATGCCAATGAAAGAATATTAATTTTTAACCTTGGACTATGAGGGCTGAAAGAACAGTGTTTCCTTGACACTGCAGGTAAGTGTTTAAAAATAAATCAGACGGAAATAATGATTGGCCTGCCAAAACAGGCTAATCATTACAACTAAAAACTGTGGGAACATGTTTTTTAAAAAGCTACATCAAAAGTACATATGAAAAGTACATTGAAAAGTAAATTAATAACTAGACTGAAGACCAAAGTTGCAATGAAAATAACTACCTGTAATAGGAGAACCCAATTTTATTTTTGTTTTGATTTTTGGTCTGTTTTGTTTCCTGGCTTGGTTCAAGGCCTACCTCTAGACCTATATAGTGAAGGAAAGAAGGAAGAGGGGAAAGAACATTAATTTATACAGCTTTAAGAAGATGAGTGAACCCCGAACACAAATACAAAGAAAATCATACCCAGACACATCACAAGCTGTTGAGAATCAAAGCCAAGCAAGAAACAAAACCAAAACAAGTACTATTTTAAAAAATCAGAGTGGGGAAAAAGTTACCTCCATATGAGAGAACAGTAATTCAAATGCGGTTGGCTATAAAGGAGTACGACTTTTTTTAGGGCTATTGAACTGCTTTGAATCTTAATTGGGGTGGTTTCTCTGAGATTTATGCATTTGTTAAAATATGCCCCATATGTCAGTAAGAGCAAATATTACTGCACACACACATAAAAGAACCAAAAACCTTTATACTTTCCCTTGCCCCCAATCTAATTAACCATGTCCTACCAAATTTATTTTCTAAAGAATGCTTTTTTTTTTTGGTTTGGTCGTGGGGCCTGAACTCTGGGCCTGGGCGCTGTCCCTCAGCTCTTCAGCTCAAGGCTAGCACTCTACCACTTGAGCCACAGCGCCACTTCCGGCTTTTTTCTTTTTGCTTATGTGGTGCTGAGGAATTGAACCCAGGGCCTCAGGCATGCAAGACAAGTGCTCTACCACTGAGCCACCTTCCCAGCCCTTCTAAAGAATTCTCTAATTTTCCTTTTCCCTCCATACCTACCACTTCTTACTAGGAGAGCACTATTCACATCCTTCTATAACTACTGATGATCCCTAACCTAACCTCTACAGCATTGATTTATAAAAGGGAATTCCTGTTTAAATTATACCAACTTTATATTAAAAGTTTGTTAGAAATTTAGCATCATTTAATCCCTAGCCTGGAACTCCTGAATTAGAATCACAGTAACGTGATTCCAGAGTTAATCATGAGCATGTTAAAATCTGAAAGCTTTACTAAGGCATATCAGACCATGGAAAACTGATTATGATGGTCTTCTACTTAAAGTCCTTGACAAGGACTCCCAGTAGAGACCATCATAGGATGTATGAGGCTTTATGTGACCACACCTTACCTTTCACCACTCTCTACCCCATGTTTGACAATTCTGTTAAGTTTTAACTGTACATCCCAAACACATGAACATGACGTTGTGCCTGTCTCTATACTTTGACTCATGCAATTCCCTGACCAAGAACCCAACCTCTTCCTTATCTGGAAAACTACTACCCTATCTTCAAGCTTCTTCTCAGACATCAACCTAGCCAACTCTGAGAAACACCAAGATTGAAGGAAGAGCAGCTATTCTACAGCACTTTGAATATACTTCCATCCCTGGATTGCCCACATTATACTGAAACTATCTGCTTAAGTCTTTTTCTGGACCTGAAGTTTTTTCAAAGGTAAGTGGCTTCATCCTTTTGATTCTGTCCCTCTGTGTCTAGCAGACAGAACTTGTTTAGGAAAGACTTTGGTGAACTAAAACCCATACTCATTGCTTTTATTCTTACCAAATACCCATCTGGTTTTATTCTTACCAAATACCCACCAGTTTTCTCAACACGTGCTTTTCCTGGGAGCAATTCAATTAACCATCTCCTAAACCTAAGCTGAAGCAGGGAGGTGCAAAATTCACGTGAGGGATTCACACCCAAGACATTTGCCTGTGCAAAAAAGACTTACAGCTCTAGTCAAAAAGGCAAGGGTTTTTCTTTTCTCCTAATGTCATAAAGCCACCTACTATAAACCTTCTTTGGTCCCTAAGGAGGGTAGGGAACCCATGGCTGCTCATTTACCGTTTCTTTACACGGTGACACCCCCATGTCCCCCTCGAAGCTCGGAGCGCCTGGGACACTCCTGGCCGAGGGGCGCGAGGGTCCCTCGCTCTGCCCTACGTGGTCACCTTTTCCATGGCAGTTCTTCGTCTTCTGGGTCGCTCTCTGTCACGGACCCCTCAATCACCGTCTCATCGCTGTCCCAGTCCAGGGCCTGGGCCTCCCCTTCCATCTCTGCCTCACACTCGAGCTCTTCTTTTTCTTTTAAACTTTCCATTTCTAACTCTCCCTTTCCTGCAAGCAGAAGAACGCTTTGCGGGGTACACGAAGTGAAGAGCTTAAAATGGCAAGATTCATGGCAAAAGCCAGGCCTCCCGGGGTGACCGACCACACTGAGGAGGCCCGGGAGCAAGCCAGCGAGGGAACGTGCCGCACGACCTTCGACAAGCAGGCAAGCAGGCGGTCTGTCGGCTTGTCCTTCCCGCCGGCCGGCAGGGAGCAGCCGTGCATCACGCATGCGTCAAGGCCGCGCGCGCCCGCGTCGGCCCCGCCCCCGGCGGCCGGATGTGGCCCGCAGCGCCCACTCCGTCTCCCTTCCCTCCACCCCTTGGGCTTCCGGTTCCCCTTGGCGGTCGTGGCGGGCTGGTGAAGGTGCTGGGGTCAGGCGTCGCGGTTCTGCAGGTCCGCTGTGCCAAAGGCCTGGCCGGCCTGGCCGGCATCACATTGCCTACCTACACTCCCCCTGGCGACCCCGGCCCGGCCAACGACACTTTCCAGCCTGCCTGTGTGGCCTGGCCATGGGTCCAGAGGTCCAAAGACCCGTAGAGCGCTTCTTTCCCCTCTGACACTCCTCAAAAACGTTGCCTTTTCAGAATCTTTTAGATTAGCAAGCTAATGGATGTGTTTCTCCCTCTAGCCCTGGAATACAGATTGTGTAAGTACGGCAGTTAAAGGTACTTTTCCCCTCAGGTGTGTGTGTGTGGGGGGGGGGTGGCCTTGAACTCAAGGCCTGGCGCTCCTGAGGGTTTTTTCCCTTTTGGGGCTGGCATTCTACCATGTAAGCCACGCCCCCGGTTCCTTTTTTTATTTTTATTTTTCTGGTTAATTGTACATAAGGATCTCTTGGATTTGTCTGCACATGGATGGGCTTCTGTCCTCAGGCCTAAGCCTCCTGATTAGCTAGAATGAGTCACCAGAGCCTAGCACCTCTGTTTGTCAATTTTTATAATACTGGTGTAATGGATACTTATCGGTTTGGCTATCAGTTTTCCAGAAATGAAAAAACAGATTGCTAATGCTTACTACAGGAAACGGAGAGGAAATAACTTATCATTCATTCTCAGAAAAGAGTAGTTCAATCTCTATCTCTTTTTAGAGCGTTAGTTTAGTAACATCTATCCAAATGTTTCCCGTGTACATATGCTTAGAGATAGCCTTTCTGCTTTTAAGAGCTCATTCCTATACTGTCATTACATTTGCATCAACTATAATTTTAGAAGGCTGGAAACACCTTTAATCTCTCTTGGTTGGGGATTATGTAGTAGAAGATTCCTTGTCATTGAGAAGAATGAAATACAGTTATATACTTGGACAGGTTTAACTGGGTTACATGTTAACATAAAAAGTAAAGAAAGACCTAAGAACAACAATGATAGCTCCAGAATGTTGTGTAGGAAAGGCTTAAGTGAAATCTTCCAGGAAGCGAAGGCTATCAAACTTCACAAAGTTTGCATTTGAATAGGAAACAAAGTTTTCAGTTAGGAGATTACTCAGCAGATTTATGGCTTGATCTTAAAATGAATACTGATTTAGAGTTGTTTAGGAAGGAATGTTAAGGACCTAAAAGCTTTGGTCAGATATATACCATATATACCAAGCTACACTGACCCTGCCAGAACAAATTAGCATAATCTTTTTCATTGATGTTCTTTACTGAAGTATAATTTATATATAATGAAATGTAAAAAAAAGTGTTTAATTCAGTATGTATATATGTGTATTTAGCCATTATATAGTTCTAACTGGATCATTACACTAGCAAATATAATCCTGTAGGAGAATCCTAGGTGGAGAGAAGGTAATGAAAAAACAGTAGCTTGATCATTAGGAGTGTAATTTACCTAAATAAATAATACATAGCAAAACCCAAGATTTTCCTAATCTAGATTGACAAGACTGTCAAATGAGCACATGATAATGAGACTTATTTATGTATAACTGAAACAGCCATGTAAACATTTTTCAACTAATGTATGTATAAGTTGGCCAGTGTAACATAACTAGAATATAAATCCCAATCAAAAGAGGTTAATTACACTGTTAATGTAGTGAAACAATGCAGCTCACTTGCTAGGCAGAGACTCTTACTGATGATCTTTGCCTTGTGTCGTTTTTTGCACTTGCCAGTTGTGAGATAGGTTCCCTTGCTTTGTATCTGGACCCATATTTAGACCAAAGTTTTCCTATTTGTTCCCTTCCCTTCGTAATTATGATAGCAAGTATGCATCACCATACCTACTTCTGTGGAGACAAAGCTCTCAGATTTTTCTGCCCATAGATAGCTTGGATGACAGGTGCATACCCAGATACTGGTTGAGAAGGGGTCTCACACGCATTCCTAATTGGCCCAAACTGAATTATCCTCCTGATATCAGTGTCCTAAATAGCTAGGATTACAGGCATGCCTGGGTGCAGCTTAATAATTGTTGACAATGCAATCAAGTAATTCTCAAGGTCAGGATGCTCTGAGAAATGCAGTGTTAGGAGATTTGTTCCATCATTGTACAAACATAATAAAATGTTGTTACACAAACATGCGTGGTACAGGCCATTCTCTCCACATGGCCTCTTGATGCAATTGAGAGACTGGGTAAATAGAGATATGTGAGGCTGCTGCCTGTGTGATGCCAGCACTTCTTGTAACTCTTGGCTTGAAGGTTCATCACTTAGATTTCAGCCTTCTTCACCACATGTCATTCTCCCTGAATGTCTCTTCTCTTCTTGAAAGGTCAACCAGGTACAATAGATAAAAGGCACACCCCGCTCCATTAGTATTATCCTAATTACAACTGAAACAATCCTAGTTCCAAAAAAAACCACATCTGAAATTCTGGGTAGGACAGGAATTGGGGGGAAGGAGGGAAAGAAGGGGTGGGCACCATCCAAGCCAGAGTGCTTTTGTATCTTATGTTAGAGATCTTTCATAAATCAAGATCATGAAGAAATTCTTCCTTTAAAGGTTATGAGGATAGTCTCCCTTGCTTTCTTCTAGAAGCCCCATGATTCCAACTTCACATATAGTTTAATGCTTTATTATACCTAATAATAAATAAATAGAAGACAAAGCTTACTTTTTCCCATCTGCATATCCAATTTTTTCATGGTCTTGTGTTAAAAAGTATCATTCTCCCATTTAGTGTCTCACTCACGGCCTCCACCTCAAAAAGATCATGATATGTTGCCTGATACATGACAACTGCCAGAGCTAAATATTGATCACGTATTACTAGCCTGTGATATTTGGTCCCATATGAATGTGTGATTAGTTTAAAACATTTCACTACAGAAAATGTTCATGAATGGGAAGTATGACCTAGTAAATGAGCTTCTGAATGGAACAGAACATCCAGCTCTGGAGTGACAAAATATGCAGGAGCAATACAATGAGGCTGGAGATCCTGACCATGTGTACATTTGGCTAGAGTTGGGTGGAATTGTGGCTCATCAGTAGACCAGTTGCCTAGTAAGAACAAGGTCTAGAGTTCAATCTCCAGTAATGGGAGGGAAGTATGGACATTAAGCTGTTGCACTGTACATTTGTATTTTAGTTTTTAACATACACACCATGCACACACACATTTAAGAAATCTAATTTTAAAAACTAAGGATATAGAGAAGGACATTTTGTGTGACTATACAATGGTTTTTATGTCTTTGTGTTAAGTTATTACAAAACATATTAAAAATTCGTTTATAAAGGAATTGTGGTGGGAGGAAAATATTTGTTTATAAAGTAAAAACAAAGTTACAATTAAGCCAAGTTTGATTTATTGTTAAGGAAAGAACATTATAAATTTAGGATAGCCTAAACTCTCCTAACCTCTGCCTTCACATTCCCACACTACTCATTCACTGGCTTACTCACAGCAGCTTTCAGTCCTGTGGCTTCATGACAAGTGCTCTGTACAGCTGCACAATTTAGTGTCTTTTACATCATATATTTTATTATGCCTTTTTTGTTTAGAGACACATCCTTACCATTGTGTTGTAACTAATTGCCTAGAGGACAGACCCATGCTAAACAGGTTTGTGCCTAGGAGCAACAATCTATATACGACATAGCTTTGGTGGTTAGTAGGTTATATTATCCAGGCTTATGGAAATATACACTCTGGTGTTCACATGATGGTGAAATCACCTAATGATGCATTTCTCAGAGTGTATCCCCAACATTAAGCAAATAAAACTACATAAAGATCATGATATAGGCACCATAGAGCTAAAAGTGGCTCTTCATTTAGTAGTGCCTCCTAGCAAAGGGGAAAATAATGTGATTTCTTCTAGAAGCTCAAGGTTGAGGTCTAATTCTTCATTTGTAAGCTAGTTACTGTAAGGTCCACCCTAGGAAGGGAGAGCATACTCTGCCCTCCTCTTGGCTAAATCTCCACCCAGTACCTGTGTCACTTAGGTAACTGGCACACCTGGAGATAGTCACCTCCCCCTCCTCCAAGGTCCCATCCTGGGCTGCCCCAGGTCATGCCTCCCATGGGAAGGAGGGAGGGTCCCACGCCCTGAGGTCACATCCCCATCTAGTTTGTCCACACATTCCCCCCCACACACACATACACCTGGCCACATCTGGCTGCACCTTCTCCTCACCCCCTCCCTACTTAAACCCAGGAAGGACATCAGCAACAGTTAGGTAAACATAAACTTCTCTCTCCTGCCTAAATATAGCATGGTAATCTCATTTATCAGCTACCTACTTTAATTTACATAACAGTTACATGAGTAAGAAGCAGTAGTCAATCAGTGGCAGAAACAATGTAATTACAATGCATATATGTGTGTGTGTTATATATATACATACAATACACACACATATATATATTCCAAGTATAATACTTAGATTTGTCATTAGTTTCAATATTAATTTCTGTCCCAACTGTGGCAACTAGGGACAAGACAATAACAAACACCAGACCATGGAATTGAGGTTTGGGGCACCAAGAGCCTGAAGTCTTCCACTAGCTTCTAGTGTTC